CCGACTGTGTATAGGATTAAAACAACAAAAAACAATAATAGAAATGCCGTCGTGAATGCAACAATTTATTTGGTTATAGTTCTTTGTCTTTTCTTCCTCTACACTACATGTTTCGGCCGCAACCGGCCATCATCAGGTGTATTTTTCACTACGTATCTGTCACACTGCACACAATCTAAAATCTAAAACACCAGCCTGTCAGTTTTGTTTAAAATCTCGCCAACATACGCTCGTCAATTTGATTTTAGAATTCTAATTTAAAATTTTATAACTTTTAAAATTAAAAATTTAAAGTTTTAAATCACAGGGATACTTGCTCTGTGTCCACAAGTGCTGCAGCGGCTATTTCTCGTTTCCAGCACCGTTCCTGTATTATTCTGTGCCGGCTCCCTGTGTGTGTGTCGCTGCTCATCTTTAATACGCGACGAGCAGCATATTAATGCCAACTTTAGTGGATATAGGGTGTTGCGTGGTCAGCGCAACGGATCCCCACGGCCATTAATTTCGGTTTTCTAGACCGGGTTTTAAGAAACCGAAAAGTAGTCAAGGTCCATCAAAGGGCTGTAGAGCCACAGATAGGTAGATGCATGGATGGGACAGAAACACAGACATACAGACAGATGGATAGATAGATAGATAGACAGACAGACAGACAGACAGACAGCCAGCCAGATAGATAGATAGATTAGATAGATAGATAGATAGATAGATAGATAGATAGATAGATAGATAGACAGACAGACAGACAGTTAGATACACATCCTCGGTCTTTAAATTGCAAGTTTCATCTCCCTGTCCCGAAACGTGGTGGTCATAGAGTAATACATCCATATTAGCCACACCTATGCGTTTACATGGATTCGAATACTGGATGTTAAGGAAAGAACAATCAGCAGAATGAAGATGGTAAACTGCATTCTCTCAGCCCACAAGACATAACAAAGATATTGGATAAGAATTGGGAATAACAGATACGAAGATATTAAAATAAATATCAATGGATTATTTTTTAAATAATCCTAATATTAGTTCTGGGGCAAGCGGTAGCGTAGTTGGTTAGAGACACTATGCTACAAGTCGGAAGGCCGCGGGTTCGAATCCAAATAAGGTCACTCGATTTTTCAACTGACCTAATCCTTCCAGCCGCACTATGACAGTGCGATCGAGTGAGCCTTCAACCTATGGGCCTCCATGGCCTGTTACAGGGATAACTTTGCCTTCTTTCACCTTCTTACTAATACGGATCCATATCAGGACAATTCAATAACAAGCACGTATTTAAGAAACTGCCTGATGATCCAAATATGGCTCGCAACATCCAGCAGACGCTAAATAAAACCAATGTTAATACAGTGATACTGAATTGGTTTCTTTGAAAATGTGTTGATGGTCAAAAAACACGCAATGTGACACACAACAGGATGCAGAGAAAAATAAATACTGTCGTGTGCATCAGTGACTAAAGACAGGGCTCGGCTTTGTAATTGGATTTATTGACAATTCACAGGTCGTAACTACAAATAAGTGTAACACCGTTACTGATTTTCACATTACAAAGCAATCCGCGCTAGTCTTCACTATCCGTTTCCTGACAACGGATTTATGACATAGGAACTATAAAAGTCTCACTAAATTACACACTCCCAATATCACTGTACTACATCCCACACAAAGTCTTCAAATCACACTTTAAATCTTCACAAACTGACTTCTTGTACCCTTCTGTACTCCTCAAGCTTACTGCTTGCTTGCGTGCCTCTGCCGCTTACTACTCACCCCTCCAACTTACTGCTTCACCTCGGAATTCTGCTCACTTACGTAGATGCAGCACGGACATGTCTCACAGAAAACATGTCACGTGACGTGGTAGTGTACGTTCCCTAGCTCCACAGAACTGTTCAAAATTGTGTAATTCTATATTAAAATAAACAGACAAATGGTCTGCCTTATACTAACAGTTAGAAGTGACACAGAATAACCGTATTTAGGTAATGTAAAGTAATAGGTTAATAATCGAGGAAAGGGTAAAGGATTAGCGCGCTGCGCTCGTGCGCAAATATTAGATCGAAAGAGAGTTTGCTGCTGCTGCTGCTGCTGCTGCTGCCTGGGGTAGCATGGAAGTATGGATTTGGTCTCCCTTAAATTTTTATGACATAGCCTCAAAGTATGGCGCCGTCGACATATCTACTTATTTATTTATAGACGATATATTAGAACATGTAGCTGCGTTTATGCTCTATCGCCACACCAAATTTAAAATTCCTAGTTCCACTGGTTTATTACTTACCACCGCTGACAGCAGTGTCAAGCGTAAGTTCGAGCGTCCGACCGTTCTGAGTGCCACTGCACCAAATTACAGAGTATGAGGTTGGAGTGGTATCTAATGGCATACGTCAGTACCAAATTTAGTGAAAATCGGTCAGCCGTTTAAAAGTTGAAAGTGGGACACTGATGAGAGCCTGACCATTTGGACGGGATATCTGAAATACGAGCATGGAAGCAGATAAACCGATGGGTAGAGAATCCCAGGGGCGTCCGGCAAACGAGTGGCTCAGGACAGCTATCAGATGCGATATTTTACAGACATGGTAATGAATCTTCGAAAAAAGGCGGGGAACATATTGATCAGTTGAGCGGATATGAGCTTCATATTAAGGACTCTGATCCAACGAGTTATATTTTCACTCTGGCTATGACACGTTCGATTTCTATGACAAATAAGGGGAAAGTCCATAAGGTTTACTGTCTTCCCGGTCTTTATGGTCATCACGAAATATTGAATCCAAAAATAGCTGTCGATAATGCCTAAAAATTACACACTCATAACAAAGAATATTTTTCTCTGTCGACATACGTTGTGTCGGAAAATTTCATGCCACAGAACTCGCGTCTCATTTAAATCAACGTCTCTACAGGACGCAGACATGAGGAGCGATGAATTATTCATAAAGCTACGGCCTTTTCTCTCTCGGCAGCGCACTCCAATACCTGTCAATACGCTACACAAGAAATATGGCGATAACTGATACTTAATGAGGAGCTTCATAACTTGTACTCTTCGCCATGCATAATTAGAATGATCAAGTCGAGAAGGATGAGAGAGGCAGGACAGGTAGCACGCATGGGGAGCAAAGGAATGTATGTAGGAATTTGGTGGGAAAGTCAGAACAGACCACTAAGAAGGCATAGGCGTAAGTGGGAGGATAATATTAAGCTGGATCGTAAAGAGATAGGATGGGGTGTTATGGACTGAATTGAGCTGGCTAAAGATAGGGACCAGTGGAGGGCTCTTGTAAACACGGTAAAAACCTTCGAAGTCCATAACAAGTTGGGAAACTGTTGAGTAGCTGCGCAATTTGAGGCTTCTCAAGAAGAGCTCAGCTGCATGGAGTTAGATACTAACACACACTTCGTCGTAGAATCCTTTAATTTTGCGGAACCCGGAGGTTAATTACTGTGTTCGCAAATGCCCATCAGTAAACGCTACTCCAAGCCAGGTGGAGACTCCAGTCCACCGCTTCACATCAGATATATCTAAGACCCGTCTAGATGGGTAGGCGATCGCAACAGAAACTTACAGAAATGCCCCCATTAGTGTCGCCAAGCATGCCACTCTGTTAGTCTGCCTGTCCACTCGGACGTAACAACATCAGAACGATATGTCGAATCATCCGAATTTTAGTTAAAACTGCACGTAAATAACGACTACTTTGTATGATGACTTGTACGCTTTTCTGAGCGCACCTCGAGCGTAATACGTATTTATCAGAGCGAAAAATGTTTTGAATAAAAGTTTATAGAAAAATAAAACATGCATTTTATATCCTATACGTTTTCAGGAACTCATGTGGTTTTCAAGATAAAAGGGAGTAAACAAGGCGGACCTGTTATTCTATGTGTATATTCCCGAACTTGTTAGCCTCTATTCAACAATCTGATAGTCTCACATCTTGTTGTGCAATCATTCATTCATTCATTCATTCATTCATTCACTCTTTCATCAATGGCTCTACAGCCCTTTGTTGGGCCCTGACCTCTTCTGTTACGTAATCTTTTTTACACAGCCGGTAGGACTCCTTGGACGAGTGATCAGCTCGTGGCAAGACCGCTACCTACACACAGGACAATACAAACACAGAATAAACGCATGTACAGATATCCACGCCTTTAGTGGGAATCGAACCCACGATCCCAGCGTTCGAAAGAGCGAAGACTGATGTGATGATTCACTTACATAAAATTATGAAACTAACGGTCAACACAACGTTTACTCAATAATAATAATAATAATAATAATAATTATTATTATTATTATTATCACTCTGAATCTATAGGTCTACAATTGAATGTGACGGCACAACCGCTACTTGATTAAAATTAAAACTTTGTTTCTTTCCAGATAATTAAACAACAGAGGGCGTACTGTTACACTATGCATACATTTCCTAGCTTACTGCACTATTCTCCCATTTACACCAACGTACCGAACGCTGTGGCCGACTGGGTAGTAGCCCACTCTAGCTCGGTACTCGAGAGGTCCCGGGTTTCAATTTCGACCCGGAAACCGGCCATTCTGACTGAGGCTTATTCAGTCCCTCCAGTCAAATGCTGGGGTAGTACTCGTACAACAGTTCAGCGAAGACCACCTCACACATATCCTTATCATCTCATTGTTCACTGACTCTCGTATCATTTGATGCTAATCTAAACTACTGATAACATCATTACATGAACATCAATGACACTAAACCTAAGTTTCCCAAGTGGTCTCTTCCTTTGAAGTTATCAGACAAAATTGTACGTAATTTCCTGACGCGTGCTGCACGTTCCGCCCATTAAGTTGTACTGTTATTCATGCACCTAGCCGATAAAAACTATTCTAAATGTATAAACTTGAGTGTTTCTAGATAAAGTAACTTTAAGCTAACCTCAAAGGCTTCCGCTTGGTATTTACTTGCAGTGGTTACAAAGTAAAACAGGATTATTTACGATTCTTTCAGCATCAGGACGATACCTTCGCTGGCTTTCGAGAACCTCAACTCGCTGGAAACCCTGAATCTGCAGAACAACAAGTTAAAACACATTCCCGAAGAGGTAATGGAGCCCATCGTGGACACGCTAAGAAACATCGATATAATGGGTAAACCGAATACTTACATTAAATTCTCTTGTACTTGAGAAAAGATTAACTAATTTGGTGCGCACATAAAAGCACTTTCATTCAGGATTTCAAACTGCAGTTTTCACGCGATACATGTTCTGATCACCATAATAATGTTTTTCAGACAACCCACTGGAGTGTGACTGTACCCTGCGCTGGTACCGGGAATGGCTAAAGAATTTGCGTGACAAGGACGATGACGTGATGACAAAGAAGCGAACCTTATGCACGATGACAAGCGAGCATCGGGAGTATAAGTTGCAAGAACTGCCTCTGGAGCGTATGAACTGTGTTGGCAAGAACTTGGAGCAGACATCCAGCAGTAACGCCGCTGAACCGCGTGGATTCTGTACGGGGACGGTGACAACAGCGCTAGCCACAGTGGCTGTGGCAGCGGTAAGCAGCAGCTACTGCCTGTAGTGGCAGAGGCGAGTGAAGAACCACGACGGTCCCATACAAGACGACGCCCAGTTTTGTTACAATTCAAGAAATATGTAACGTTCTGAAATGCAAGGGATTTATGATTTCCACACACACACACTAACACAGCAACACTGGTGTAGGTCATTAAACAGTATATTAACCATCCCACTAATGCGTACTTTCGGCAAGTTTGGTCACTTTGTTAAATATTCTGTACAGTTCTGATATGACTTCAGTTAAGAGGTGGATGTTTATTTGAAATTGGGTCCTTCTTATTTTAGATAAGTTAACAAAAATGTCGCCTTATATCCGAGAATATATGGCATTCAACAGACCGATACACAGATAATTATAGCTCGTGATTCTGAAAATCGCTGTATATATTTGAAAGGTTTTTTATCTCATCAGCGATTATTTTTCCGTTGTTTTCTAACCTACGATTATTATTATATGTTAAAATAGATGCTTATAATTATAGCCATAGGTTAGAAAATATTACAGCGAAATAACCCTAATGATATTACAAATACTGTAGAAGAAATATTTCGGGAAGATAACACGAGAAAGATGTACTGAACGACAATTTATAGAGAAAATCCAGTAACGAGAGCCTTAAAGCGAGTTTCTCCATCATATTTATGAATGAACACCCAGTGTTTGCTAGTCCTCGAGATATGCATGTCACAGAGGGGTAAGATCAAACAAACTAATTAATAAAACTGATATAATGGGTGGCCATGTATTTATATATGGTATCTAAACAAAAGGAATAAAACAAACGGAAAGTTGTTCTTCGTTCATGAATTAAAAGTGGTGAATATTAAGAAATGCGAAGCCCAGTACAGTATACAGTCATGAAACAAGTGCATGCAGGGTACTTCAATCAAGAAAAATATTACAAATGGTTTCACCCAAGGCTTATTTTCATCTAATTCATTTCTGCATTATTTCCTAAACATAATGAAACGAGAAGAAATTTTCAGTTTTGGTCAAATAATTGAATTAGAGTCTCCTAAATAACATAACTTCGAAATGTCCTCTGCTTATTTTTCACGCGAAAATGGTTACTTCGAACTGCCATGACTGCTGGATGGGTATCAACACAGGTTTCGGGTGGACTGCAACCTGAGCCTCGCACATTTCAAGTGAGAAAGTACTTGGATCCTCACGAAGAAGGCTTTTAAGTAAACAGATAGTTCATAACATACGGTTATGCATCATAAAATACACAAGTAAAAGAACCCAGAACTTCATGAGGTAAAAGGGCGTTTGGTAATACTGTTTCAACTACCGGCGCTAATAAAGGGCTCGAAGGAGGGAACAAATCCACGGAAACGAACATGCGTTCGGAAAATAAGATAAGAACAAACAATTTCGTAGAAGAAAGCAGTCTTCTGGGATTTGGCACCGTGTATATGTGCTGTTAACCGACGTTTCGGAGGAACGTATCGCCTCCATCTTCAGGGTAGAAGAAAAAATATAAGAAATCTGCAAGTGAAGAGACTGTGCAGTCTGCTTTTACCGGTTCTCACGGTCTCTTCGCTTGCAGATTTCTTGTATTTTTTCTTCTACCCTGAAGATGGAGGCGATACGTTCCTCCGAAACGTCGGTTAACAGCACATATACACGGTGCCAAATCCCATAAGACTGCTTTCTTCATAGTCACCGCCGTGAAAGCCTCAAATCTTACACAATTTCGTAGAACATTTCTGACATGTTTGATGCCTAGGTTAATGTGGCCACATGAGCGACTTAAACTACATAAAGCAAGCAGACTAACCAACAACTGAAATTAACGAATTTCGAAATGATGTACATGAAATAAGTATTTTTCAAATCATTAATTTTCTCGTGTTACTGCCTATGAACTTCCTTGGAGAGCAGCATTTTATAAACCCCTAATTGCTTTAACAGCGTGATTACTGCTTAAGTTTTAGAAGGGTTAGAATAACGCAGTGACCCTGAAGTCGTGTAGGAACGAGGCAACTGTCAGAGACAGGAGCCGTCACCGCGCCGTACGAGCAGCATTCACTTCGAGTTTACAGAAGTACAAACGTATATGCGGGACTGACGCTGATCCGAAGCCTGGACAAGGCAACAGTTCTGCAGCAGAATGATTATAAACGCTGCGTGTCTTGCATTAAGATAACGTTACACTCGATCTCGTTTCCTATGCAGAATGGAATAATATCAGCAAAAGACAACGTTTCCATTGTACTACACTTATAAAACTTTCTAGTTTGTTCCCTCAGCTCTGCTACCTTACAGATTTGTATTTGGGTGGGTGTACCATAACAAATTCAATCACACATGGAAATGCTTCTGTGAAACTGTGCACCATCACCAACATGTGCGTCTGTAATGGTTGTGTGGCACATTAGAATTAAATGATATTGATGCACTCTACCGCGAGAAAGGCAAAAATAAATCCATCTCTCTTACAAGCAGAGGTTACGGAGAGATCGGTATCCGTATGCTTGCGGAAAGTTTGGTGCTCTTGGCACGAATTCTCGATACTCGTAATAATTTTAAAACATTCATAATACATAATAATTCCTCAACTGTTCGCTATAATTCTATGTACCAAATCCCTGCTCAGCTTCTGGGAGTATAGGTGTAGAGGTTTCTTTAGCTGAGGAAATCAGTAAAAAAACGCAATATTTCATGAGAAAATCGCTCATTATTCTTCCGGTATTTTTGTGAGACAACGTGTGCTAGAATCACGTATTGAGAAGTGTCTTGATGTGAGAACACAAAGTGTAAATCCGTTCCGTAATCCATTTATTTAAATTGATATCTTCTATTCAGCGGCTTTGTGAGATACCCACTACAAATTACTAGCTTCTCCTAGTTGCCCACCAGCCATATATAATTGCAGGTTTCTAGCTTACACCATCACATATTTAGAACAAGAATGAACTTCGAAACTCGAATTAATTTCGGTATAATAAGTACTGACACTACATACCGCATATCATTAGTCAACATAACGTCTCAACAGTAACCACTAACTTTTACACTAGCACGCGGGACTTCCCCTGGGCATCAAATGAGGATTCTTGTGAACAACGTAATACGTTAACCTACCTAAAAAGACTAATCCAATAAAGACTGCTCACATAATCTGAATATAATATATCCTGCCAGGTTTTCTTTTGTAAATGACAAGCAATCAATGTTAATGTATCTGTTGAATTACATATCAATCACAAGAACGAAAACTGTAGTGAGAATTCCACCTTTGGAAACAAGGAAATACCATACATATCAGATTGTTCCTATCAGTTTTATCGAGATCAATGTTCAGAAACCATATTAGTTGACATTCGGATTATTAGGACTGTAATAACTAGAGCGACGTTGTAGAATCAATACTTCCACATCTGTTCCCTTTGAGGTAACTAACTTATCGTTATTTTGTAATGTGAAAAGGAAGGTTTAAAGTAGGACTTTCCACTTTAGTGCTGCTACTTCTGTGAACGGCTGAAAATATATTTAAACTTTTCCAATCACAATAGACGGACTGCGTCCTGAAGTAATATGTATGAAGAAATAAATGCAATCGAACGGCTGCAAGAATATTTGTGACATCCGCTATAATTGGGGGAAAGATTACCATGTACCATATGTGTATATTAGAAAAAAAATATTGTAAGGCCTATGAAGTTCACAGAATTACATTTTAAGCATTAGCGTAATTCACAAAATGATCCGCTCCTGCCAGACAAAAGAAAAAAGTATTCAAAATTATGAGCTGCTAGGCAGGCCCTGGCTCAGTTTTGTCTCTTAAAGCTGATAAGCTGAGATTACCAAATTGGTAATGTCTTTCTTAACATTCGCAATGAAGGAATGGCAAATCTTGCACTATCCTCATTTTAAATAATGCAGGAAGAGCAGAGTCTACCTAATAAGCACCCTACAATGGGTGGTCTCTTACTGCTAGGGACACCGCTTTGGGGCCCTGTGAGCTGGGAAAAGAGGCGAAAGTCGCGGGTAATCGTAGGCTGTCGGGAAGAATTAGCAGTACCCCAATCAGAGATGCTTGTTCATCAAAGAGAGTTACTTGTCAGGTTATGGTTGTGTACAAAACCGGCCACAACAATGGCAAGAAATTTTCTCTCTGTTGCTTGTAGCGTGCATATCGACTGTTGTGAGTGGGCGTGTTTACGTACAGGCGCTGGTACTGAACATTCCTTGCAGGGCCGCAACGCCTAGTCCCGCACAGCATAATTATTGCAGAGGTCTGCGGGAGTCGTCACTCATACGGAATGCAAAATGTCGTCTTGTGATAACGTGTTTACATATAGATGAATATCCTTGTTCTAAATGTTTTACACAGTCCTTCCTTGTTGCTAAGCGACAATGCTTTCTATAAAAACTATAGTATCACACATACATATGTTAGATGTCACTGGTCATGTTGAAGAGGCAATATGAACCACGAATTTTCGTTATGATCGTTAAAATATACCATAAATGTTTAATTATAACCCAACTCTATCTGTTGAAAAAAAAAAGGAAAACATCGCAATGCTCTATGGACAAGGGTGGGTGTCGCGTTACTATATGAATTGCAATTCAGTGTAGTAGACATTCACTACTTTAAAATCAATCGTGTTGCGATAGAAATAAAAAAAAAAAAGCATATAATATATATATATATGAAATAAGTAATTGTGTTTTGATAACTTTATCTTGCCTGTGTATTTTGGAAGCGGGTAGAAGCACTACTGCACTTTATGAAGGCAGTAAAGAACCATATATTAAACATATCCCTTGTTCCGGAACGCCTGGACTTTCCGTAGACATCCAGCAAGTTCATAAGAATAACTATTGCGTAATATTTTTCTAAGAACTCTATACACGTGTCGGGTCGTTGTCTAGAATGTCTGCGGAAAGGGCGTTACCAGACAAAACACAACTTTTTTACATTTTGTGACATTACTATTATTATCATTATTATTATAGGTATATATGCACATATAAAGGTCAGTGTTATTTGTCCATATCTATGAAGTATCTTTATATACATACAAATGCTTGGTGTCCCTGTCTCTTTCACTACAAGGTACAAAATGTTCTAACTTTACTAATTGTAAGAGATTATGATGTTGCATTTCTGTATGTGGTGTAAACTTAGTCAAATAAAACATACAATTAACAGACCTTTAAAATCTACCGAGTTTCGTATTTGTAGTAGTTCATAAGGTTTAGTGTGTATGCATAACCTCTCATGATATACCGTATTTACGCATGTATAGGCCGCGTGCGTGTATAGGCCGCAGCACAATTTTCAGACAGAAATTATAGAAAAAATAATTTTCTTGGAATATTATTTCAGGAGTATTACACCCTGTATTACTAATTATGAATATAATTTTTTTTAAATGAAGTGTGATTTCGAATGTTTCGAATATAAGCCGCACCCCAGTTTTCCTCTTGAATTTTTGGCAAAAAATGTGCGGCCTATACATGCGTAAATACGGT